TATTCACAGAAGAACAATAGCCACATGGAAAAGAAAGCAGGGCTTTATTAATCTCATCAACTACCTTATGACTCTTAAAATGTGGGCAAGTGATTCTAAAATGGGAGGCTTAGCCTGAGAGCCCTTTCTTCCTGAATCTCTACTTGTTTCACCCTAAATCCAGGGGTAGTATCTTAAACCACTGTGATTTTTAGAAAGAGCCAATCCAACAGGTGTCAGAGAACAAGAGGATGATACTGAGCTAGTTTTCCCTCATTGCCTAAGCCACTTTATCAGGGCCGAATTCTGGACTCTTCTACTGTCTGGGAGAAAGGGGAGCAGAATGACAGCCAGATCTCTTTCCACTCTGGCCACCTTACTTACAAGAGGTGAAAGGAAGTGGGAAAATGCCCCACCATGCATGGGTACAGAAGTAGGCAGGCGATGGCCTAGAACCTACCCTGCAAATGACGTCGCTAGGGGAAGCTGCAGGAGGCCAGTAGGGAGCCACTGCACAATGTGGTAGAAGAACGGGCAAAGGAGTAATCCTTCATTTGACTAATGAGTTAAAAAAGGTTCAGTGAGGTGAAATTGTCTCCATGATATACACGATCAGTCTGGGACCAGAACCAGTCTTGTCTTGCTGGCTGGTATTTTTCTGAAGGATAGCACACTCTTTTTTGTCGCTGCCTGGGTACCATGGTGAACTCTGGATTCAGACTTGGAGTTGGTCCAGTTCCACCACTGACAAGCTATGATGTTGGGCAAGTTTCTATAACTTAATTGGGAGAGAAACGGAGGACTGGAATCTGAAAATCTTAGGATTCTGATTTCAGCAAAATGCACAGACACATTGGACTTGTCAGTTTTCTAAGCTTTTTAATAAAATGCTGTCACCAAAAGTTTGGTATCAGTATATTTATATTGATACTATTTATTGTTGTGGAGAAGTTTCCTAAGTTTTCAAAATGGTTACTTGGCAATTTTATTACCTCAGTCCTAGAACCCTCAACCCCACCACCACCTTCAGATTTTCATTGTGAGCATTAGAATGTATTGATTTTTAATTTTTTCAGAGTTATGTTTTAAATGTATGTATTATGAGTGTTTAGTGTTTCAATATTGTTATTTTAATCTTCGTATATGTATATTTTTTTATCTTAGTATATTAATGAATAAGAATAGAACAATCCCTTAAAACTTTTGGGGATTGTCTTTTTAATTGCCAAAAAGAATTATAGGTGTGTTACCAGAAGAAAATTACTTAAAGTGGGGTAGTAGATTGTTATATGTCATAGAATTCTAATTTTTATACTAGCAATATATAATAAAATATTTAAGAAAAATAAATCTAGCATAACTGAAATCTGAAGTTGCCCATATATTCTTATTTAGAGGTAACTTTCATTATGGCAGGCAACTTGAACTGCTTCATACTGAAAATTTAATGCACCACTCAATTACTGTTCTTTAGCCCAATTTAAATAGATTGGGAGTAAGGTCTTAATGCAGTGTAACCTTTGGAACATGAGAAATAGCCCCTTTCTTTCCAGAAATCAGTATACATACAGTAAGGGTATCAGCTTTATCATACTGCATGAATGGATTTATAATAGCATTTAGTATTATACTTATTATTTATACTTAGTACTTACACTTATTACATAGATATGCTGATTTCATCTGTCTTACTAAACTTATCCTAATATTAATTTAAAGATGATGCTGTTATTTGAAAATACATACTTTGATTTTTAAACTTTTTTGATGACCTCATTCTGATGAAAGACCCAACTTAAGGGTGTCTTAATTTTATATTATTTCATAAAATGGGTGTTTTGAAATAATTTGAGATGGTGGATATTGTGATAAAATTTTAGCTGTACAAAGGTTTTTATTCTTCTTTAACAGCCCTATGTACAGCTGTGAAACTATAATGAAAATATTAGGACTTTATATGAGGAATTGGAAAAGGACTTCATAGAAAGAATGTTCTCTCTTGTTATGCTGCCTCATGATGGTAGTCATTGCCCTTTTTCTGTATTACAAAAAACAAATTTTCCATACTAGGTGAAAATGCTCCCAGAAACTAATTTACATACCCCTTCAAATTCCTTTTGGACTAGGGGATGATACAAATAAACAGATAGTAATAAAACTAATGTGCATACTCTAAAATGATGGTCTTAATGCAATGTAATGGTGCTGATGGAAGGTTTCCAATTTGTAGCAAAGCAGTTATTTTTAAGAAGCAAATTATATTGAAATGTACATTATTAAAAAATATATAATGCCAAAATGGGATATTGGACAAATTTATCTGATCCCCATTTTTTTGTTGATGACCAAATAATAGACCAGGATTAATGATTTTATAAGTAGACCTTGATGATCTTGTCAGTTTTATATGTTTCCAGTGCTATAGATGCAAATACATAGAGGATATAACAGTTTTGCTTCGGAATCATAGTCTTTAGTGGCTCTCTTCCTTTTTCTATATTACCCATGATTCTCAAAATGTGGTTTACAAATCAGTTGTCTCAGGAATCATCTGTGATGCTTCATCAAACATGAATTCCTGGGCCCCACCACAGAACTGCTATCCTGAAGCTGATACCTGAACCCTGCAGTTTTAGTAAGAGCCCTAGATGATTTTTATGGACATCGAGGTTTGTGAATCAGTGCCCTACAGCGGAGGTTGGCAAACTTTTTCTGAAAACTGTTAGATAGTAAATATATTCAGCCTATGGTCTTTGTTGCAACTACCCACCTCTACTATTACAGCACAAAAGCAGCAACAATAATACATAAAGAAATGGGTGTAGCCAGCTGTATTTGGCCCAAGAATTTGCAGATCTCTGATAGAATCAAGATTCTAGACTAATGATTATTTTCTCTGTGAATCTTTTCTAAGGCATTATCCCTGAAATCAGTTTTAATGAGATTTCCTATATGTTTATTTTTTGATAACTAAAGAAGATCCTAAAATATAAGAGCACTTCCTGGATATACATTAAACGAATTAATAGATCTAACACCTTGATAATATTTAAAGCCTTTTCTATGTTAATGCTATGGAGAGTATGATGCTCTTTTTTGTAACCATATAATCTGTTTCTAATACTAGGTTCCTGTGGCTAGAGCAAGTATTCTTTGGCTAATTGGAGAAAACTGTGAACGAGTACCTAAAATTGCCCCTGATGTTTTGAGGAAGATGGCTAAAAGCTTTACGAATGAAGATGATCTGGTAAAACTGCAGATTTTAAATCTGGGAGCAAAATTGTATTTAACCAACTCCAAACAGGTAAGACGCTAATCCTTACTCTACCTATGTGATACCTACTTTCTTTACTCTGATGAAGCAGCTAAGATTTCTTCATGCATTAGTCTGTCCATTCCACAATTACTAGGTGCCTGTTTCTTTAAGGTTCTACATTAGATGGTAGAGGTGCAAAGAGATGACATTCTAGTCTAGTAAGGGAGAAAAACATAAAAAACGAAATAGTATGTGGTAAGTGCTATTAACAGAAGGATTAAGATACAGTGCAACTCCAGAGGCGAAAGGTATTGAAAGTCTCAAGTAGAAGGAGTAGAGAGAGGGCAGAGAAAGTCATAAAGGATAAGACTCCTTACTAAGGGCTTATAAGGAAGTGGTTTACTATACAGAATAAGGAAAGAGGAGAACAGAGGGCCAGAGTCATGAAACAGCTCGGTGCTTTCAGCACGCTTAAAGCTGAGTCTGGAAAGGTAGGCAAGACCAATACTTGGAATGGCACGTGCTATGGACCTTGCCCAACAGGTGCAGGGGAAACCAGTAAATGTGTTTTAATAGTGGTGTAATTTACCAGATTGCAGTGTAGAATATTAATTTTTTAAATTGGTTTACTCTTTGAGAACCGTTAGTAAGAGAAGTCACCTCTATGTATAAATGATATAGAATCACCTCCATGTATAAAATAGGGACTTTCCCATCCTTCTGCCTATGTCTAAATTGCTATTCTCCAGGGTGGAGGACTTAACCTGATCAGCAAGACTGGAAAAGGATTGTTGCTCATTTGTAGCTAGGCCTCATACTAGGCTTTATGCTCCATGTCCTGTCTCTATTTCTCCCTAATTTTTCCTGTCTGACTCTTTTTTTTTTTAAAGATTTTATTGGGGAATTGGGGGAGGGGAACAGTGTTGGGGAATTGGGGGAGGGGACCAGCCATGTTGTTGTTCTTCATCAGTCTTCGTTGTGGAGGGCACCAGTCGCCATCTAGCTGCCCTTTGGCAGCTCATGGCCTCTAAGCTCAAGGTGCTGTGTTCAATCTTAGTTGCAGGTGGGTGTAACCACCATCCCATGCGGGAGTCAAACCAGCAGCCTTGTTGTTAAGAGTGCACACTATCCACTGAGCCATCTGGGCAGCAGCTCAGCTCAAGGTGCCACGTTCAGTCTTAGTTGCGGGTGGGCGTAGCCCACCATCGAACAGGCAATCTTGTTGTTACACCAGCTGAGCCATCCTGCCACCTGTTGGCAGCTCAGCGACAGCTCAGCTTGGGTGCAGCATCACTGGCCCATGTGGGAATCGAACCGGCGGCCCTGTTGCTCAGAGCTCGCACTCTTAAGCCAACTCTTAACCAACTGAGCCATTGAGCCGGCCCCTTGTCTGACTCTTACTTTGCCTCTGTGGAGTTTTGGGGTTTTTCCCTCTCTATTTCCCTTTCTTTGTCTCTGTTTTTGTCCCCCTCCTTCTTCAAAACTCTCTGCCTCTGTATCTTTCTAATACCCTTCACCCCGCCACACACCACCACCACCACCACCACCTAATATCTGTGTCTATAATTCTCTCCTTCCTCTCCCGTCAGCACTCCTCTTTCTCCCTTTGTGTATTTGCTTTGTGCATCTCTGTGTGTCCCCCTCTCTGCTTCCTTCCTACCCGTACTCACTCTCTAGTAAACTATGTTGGCCCAGCAGACTCCTCAGGCGGACTCCTATTCATTGCCGTGTGCCCTGGGATTGTCTTCATCCCCACTTGCGATAGGTATTCACAATATTAGGTAGTTTTCGCTGATTGGTGTACAAGATTTACGACCAAATAATTGCAGATATTCTGAGTATATTTCCATGATTTAGATTTTATCTTTACATTTTAAGTTAACCTTTGAAAAGAATCAGTTAATCATTTCCAGATGTCATGTGGATCTCTTTACGTGATGAGTTACTTTTTAAAAACTGAGTAAAAGAAAGGAAACCTATGTTTGCTGTTGATTTTCTTATTTATTGAAAAAACACTGTTTTAGCTTGACACTCCTGTGTTTGCTAAAACCATAAGTATTGTGAAAGTCATTATGCACCTAGAATATTATGATGGTTATGACTTTTTGTCTGTCTTGGCTACTCTAAAGATATTTAACTTACAGGTTACTGTAAATAATAAGTAATACAAAATTAGCATATGTCAATCAAGACTGAAAGTATAGTTATATCTTACAAAAATAAATAAAGGTTCTGTCTTTGGCCCTCTCCTTTGTAGCTATAAGTAACCAATTAGGAAATATAGTACTCTTTGTTCAGAAATTATAAAGTGTATTTCATATCTTTTTATCCAGTGAATTTGAAGACACTATAGTTTGAACTCGCATCTTTTTTTTTTCTTTTTTAAGATTTTATTGGGGAATTGGGGGATGGGAACAGCACTGGGGAATTGGTGGAAGGGGAACAGACAAGTTGCTGTCCTTTTGTTCTTCAGTCTAGTTGTGGAGGACGTCGCTTCACTGGCTCACATTGGCATCATCATCGCGCTCTTCCTGGGCGAGGCAGATCAGTCGCTGGCCACTGGACAGCCGCTCACAGCAGCTCTTGGCAGCTCACACCGGCTGCCAGCCACTCACGCTGGCTGCCAGCCACTCATGGTAGCTTATGGCAGTCCACTGCAGCAGGGGCTGCAGCCTACGCCATTGCCCCCAGCGACTCACGGCAGCCGAGCTCCAGGTCAAGCTCCAGGTTCACCATCCTAGCTGTAGAGGGCGCAGCATCACTGGCCCTATTGTGGGATCCAAACCGGGGCCCTGCTGTCCAGAGCCAGCGCCCCAACCCAACTCTTAGCCAATGTGCCACTCGGCCGGCCCACTCACATCCTTTTTTATTCAACTGTATAAATAATTGAAGTTTTGGAGCTTAGCTTTGAAATGTTCTGTTGTATATTTTAGAATATACACAAAAGACTTCACCACCAGCTGGTGAAAACATAATGGTGTTTAAAAATTATGCCAAATTTTCACATATTTTTTATATAACTCACTGTTTTTAAATGATTAAATATAAAAATAGGTGAATGACGGTATCTGTAGATTTGTGCTTTGTTCTCCAGTTTCTCATTTCTCAAGAAAAGGGGTTTGAGAGAACTTATAAGTAAAAATTAGCATTAAAGAATGATTTTTTAGCACCATCAACTTGACAGTATTTTTAAGTTGTATGGTTCATCCCCATTGACTATGAAACAGAAAATAAAATGATGGCTTTGACTAAATGTAAAAAAATTTTTTCTATGCTTATTTATATTAGCCATCTTTAAAACTGAACCAGGGAGACCAAGTCACAGTGTCCAGAGAGTGGTTTGCCATGAAGCCCTGATAGTTGTTTGTAGAGTCCTGATACTTATTTGTAGATCTGAATTCCCCTTGGTCTAAATATACCAGTGAGCATTTCCAGATTTTTTACTGAATCGCTTAGTTATAGGGAATGTCTAAGTTGATTTTTATAAGATTTAGAACATTCTGTTCATTTGTATGCTAAAGGAATAACTTAATAATAAACTTCTTTAATACCTCAAAATGTTTTTACCTGGTATAAAAAAGAATTTAAAAATTACTCAGCAATCTGTTTTCAGTATGGTTGAGTTAGCTCCTACTGGACTGACCCTCCCATTAGAGAACAACTATAAACTCTGGAAAATATAAAAAACAACTGCCTCAAGTCCTGGAAGAGTAAAGAAGAGTGGGAAGATTCTGGAGAGGAACTGACACTTGGAAGAAGGGAATGGCACAGAGTAAACTTCCCCACTTTTATGACTTTTATACTGAGGACACACTACAGTTGGTACTATGCACAGACTAAAATTCCAAAAGGAAACCCAAAGTCCTTCTGGCCTGAAGGAGCAGAGGATATGGTTCAGATATTGGAAAGCTAGGGAAGAATTCTAGAGGACAGAGCCAACGTGGGGAGTCTCAAAATCTATGAATAACTCTGCCCACGTCTGTGGCTGACCCCTTAACCAAACATGTGCAGGGTAGATTCGGAACAGCACAACTAAATGTAAAGGAACCAAACAAATGTGAACTGCACCAACAAGATGAAGTTAATTGTCTGCTAAAACAAATAAACAAAAATCAATACTCATTCAGAGTATAATAATGTCCAGAGTCTCTATAATATAACATTTATAATGTCCAAGACACAGTACAAAATTACTCTACATAAGAAGAACCAGAATGGGGAGTTATTGTTTAATGGGTATAGAGTTTCAATTTATGAAGACATAAAAGTTTTAGAGATGATTATGGTAATGGTTATACTATGAATGTACTTATTGCCACTAAACTACACATTTAAAAATGGTTAAAATTGTATAGTTTATGTATATTTTACCACAGAAAAAAACAAAGAAGGACCAGGAAAATGTGATTAAAAAACACAAATAACAGAAACCAATCCTGGGATGACCCAGATGTTGAAATTGGCAGGCAGACATTTTGAAGCAGTTTTTATAATTGTGGTTGGTGATATAAAGGAAAATATACTCACAATGAATGAAAAGATGAGAAATCCCAGCAGAGAAATAGAAACTAAAAAAGAATCAAATGGAAGTTCTAGAACTGAAAAATACAGTACCTGAAAAATCATCATCTTGTCTTTAATATTACATATTTTTCAACATTTTAATATTTTGGGTGGTATAGAGATATAAAACTGCTTCATGTATTTTTTTAAGCTCTTTTACATTATAGTAAGACTCTTTAGACAAACTTCTATAAGCTTCTTTAATTTTCTCATTCTAGGTACTTACAGAAGGATGTTTGTATTTAGAAAGCAGTTTAACTGTGTGTGATAGCTACCATAGAATCAGTTGAAGTCAATTACTGGGAAGCAGGTAGTGATTGAAAGCACAGCCTGTCATGTTGGACTGTCAGGCTTCAAATCCTGTTTTGCCACTTACTAGCTACATTATTTTGGACAAATCATATAACCTATCCAAGACTTAGTTTCCTCATGTGTAAAATGGGAATTATAATAATATCGTCAGTTCTTTATAATGCAACATCTAT